TTCCCTGGGGGTTAAACACTACAGATGTGTGTGGCATCCCGCGCGGGTTGGATCGGGGGGCCTTCTGTGTACTTAGACCTTTTCTAAACGCCAAATCTTTCGTGGTCTCTTGGTTCTCTGAACCGGGATGTCGGGTCCAGGGTGCACCGTCCGCCTGGTGACGCCTGGGGCTGAAAGTTTGGTTACATTTACAGAAGTGTGTGGGGGGATACGAGCTTCTTTGCTCGCTGAGAGCATTTATCTTGAGCTCTGACAATCTTCTTTAACCCCACTAACTAGTTTTCACGATCCGAAGGTTTCTGGGACAGCAGGAGAACCACTGAGGACGGAACCCTGGGAGCCGGGGAAGGACTTCATAGTAGTCAGCTCTGAGCCGCCCCGCGCCAGGGCAGCCCACGGCTCTGCGGTCTGAGCCCGCCCTGGGGTGCAGATGCACCATCACGAGCATGTGCCCGCCCTCGGCCCTCCCTTGGCTTCCATCACAGGAAAGGCACGGGGGTCCCCCAGGGGGGCCTGGGCTGCCAGCACTTCTCACCCTGGAGGGTCTGGGCCCCAGTAACATCCTGGCCTTGCGCTCCCTGGGCCGGCTCCCCGAGTCTACCTACCCTGCCAGCTCACCTTCCTGCCGCTCTGGGGCCCAGCCGCCTCTGTCTCCACTCCCGGCACAGGGACAGACATAGAGAGGCGGGGCTGGCCCAGGGTACCCCGCCAGGGAGACGCCACACAGAATCCACACTGGACCCTGCTCCACTCTCGCTCATCAGTCAGCACTGCCGCCCCTTCCCCCTCCCCCCTGTCCACTCCTCCCCTCCCAACAATGACCTCAAGGGCTGCCCCTGCTCACCCTCCCCCTCGAAAGTGACCTTGAAGGCTGTCCCCTGCTCACCCTCCTCCCCCCTCCCAAAGTGCCCTCAGGGCTGTCCCCTGCCCACCCTGTCCCCAGCGTGTCCAAGTGTCCTCCTCCTGGACCTCCTCCTGTCTCTGGCCGGGTTCAGCCCCCCACTTCTCAGCACGGACTGGCTGTCTCTTTGCTGCCAAGCTTCCCAGGGTGCGGCACCCCCACACTTGCCCCGTGGTGCCTTCCAGACCCCGTGGGCACCACTTCTGACCTCTGCCCATGAGTGTGGTGACCCAGGTCCCGCCCTCAGTAAGACGCCACGCCCGTCTCCCTCCCCCTGGTTCCACGGGGGATCGAGGCCAGGTGCTCTCCCCTCAGAGGAAACGCCTCTCCGTCCCAGACAAAGGTGGGGCGCCCAAAGGGCATCTGACCCTAATCTCCTCCTTAAATGTCTGCGGCCGCCTCCGCCACGCCACCCTCTCCCAGCACTGCCCGGCCTTCGCCAGCCCTCGCCTGCGGACTTCCTGATGGGGGCTCTTTCACTGTGGGAGAAGCTGGGCCCCAGACCTTCTGAGGAGGGGCCGGCCTCAGGCCAGGGCTTCTGGGTTGTCTCCTCCTACATGGAGTGACTGCACTTCCCTGCCAGGACTGAGAGCTGTGTCTGACCCGTTTCTGTCCCTTCCTGACCAGGTCACGTGGCACTGTGGTCTGGGCTGTGTGGCCCCCCCATTCCCTCCAGCCTCCTGCACACCTGAGTGCACCGGCCTGGGGACACAAGTGCCACGTCACTGTCCACCCCACTGCGCTTCACGGCTGCCCCCCAGGTCGTGCCCAGGGCCGCGCGTGTGCCGTGGACAGCTGTGCGGGCAGAAGGCGTGGGCCTCGTGTGCCAGCCCCCGCCCTCTCATGGGCATTGGGGTTTCACTGCGCTCACTCCTCATCTTCTACTCAGGGACTGAACGAGCGGGGTCTCCCCGCATGCACGACCACGGCGTTTCCTGAAGAGGTGAGGCTGGCGTACTGAGAGCGTTGGGGAAGACCCGTGCCCTTCTTGGCAGGTGCGGCGGGCATTCTGCAGGTGAGGGCAGAGCGGGGCCACATGGAGCCGGTCTCGCTGGTGCAGCAAGGCCCGCTGCTGGCCGCTGCCCTCCGCTCCCCACTGGCCAGGTCAAGGTCTGCTCCTGGCCCGGCCGCTCTCCCTCTCCCGGGCGCTCTTACGCCCTCTCCTCTGCTGAACTGGGCACCGCCGTGTTGAGAGACTAATGGGCTGCCTCCCGTGCTAAGGGGCGGCCCCTCCCGTGTCTGCCCCCCGCAGTGCTGGCGGGGCCCCCCTGTCCTGGCCGTCACACGGGTGTCCTCTGGCTGTCGCTTTGCTTTGTTCTGCGTTTCGTTCAGGACTTTACCGGTGGCATTTTCCTCGTACGAAGTACAGGTATGGGTAATCTGGTCGGTCACTTAAAGCCCCAGCCCTCAGACTGGCCACCACCCCAACCCAGCACCATGACTGAGACCCCACCCACCCTGTGCCATCGCCAGGCCCAGCCAATCAAAGCCTTGAGGCCTGTCCCTCCACCCGTGGGACGTCCTTCCTCCAACTGACTCCTGTGTCCACTGGAGGCCCCGCTCTGGGTGGGAGAGCACTCGAATGCAGCTCTTCTTGAGAACTGCGGGAAGCACCGTGTGACTAAGGGTGACTTTCAGTTAGCGCTAAACGTGATTTGGTCCTCGAGGCCCTCCGTGAGCTGACAGCTGGTCAGTACAGAGCGATTTCCACCTTCAGTTCTCCGTAATTTAAACTCCGATGAAGCGGTACAAAATTAGAACGAAATTTAAGTATATTTTGACATAGAAAAATATTACCAGAATGGTCTATTTATAAAGGTATTTGAAGCTATCTAGTGGTTTTCTAGCATTATATATATACACACACACACACACACATATATATATAGAGAGAGATTTTTAAATTCAGAAATATGTTTTCAATTCAGGTTTTAGTGTTTCAGTTTTGCTCTGGGGCACGTGTGCTCACTAGCGACCGGACAGAGAGCAGGGAAGTGAGAAAGTAAGAGCTGACCCCCGGGGATGGCCACGCTGCAATCCCTTCTCCTCCGCGCTTGTGGCGGGATTCGGACACAACCACGTGCACCAGCTGTTGTGTGAGCCTCCTGCTCTGGGACGTAGGGGTGCAGTCAATCACGTGGGGTCCGGCACCTTGACCACACTACCTCTGGCCCGAACTGCTGGCCTGTCCTTTCTGGGGAGTGCTGGGAGGTAGAGGACAGGGCCGTGGGTGCTGTGCGGGCCGGAGGCCAGTGCGGTACCCACGTGCACAGTGTCCACCGTGAGATGCGCCGATGACTCCCAGAGAAGTGCTTCGAACAGCGGTGACTGGCCGGCCCTGGAGCTGGTGGTCGGGGAGCCGGGTCTCAAGTGGTCACCCACAGCTCGCATCCTCGCCCAGGCAGCTTGAACACCTCACCAGGAGTGCGTGTAGCCCCAGATCCCGACAGGACAGAGAGATGGAGACGGGACTGCAGTGTGGCAGTGCCCCGTGGCACCGCCTCGCTCTCCGGCTCTCTCTGCTGAGTGCGTGTGCCTTTTGGCAATTGAGAAAAAAGGGTAAGGTACAAATTTTGGAGAGAGCTGGCCTAGGGTAGCACAGATGGAGGTGAGCTACACACGTGTTCTTCCTGTCCTCTGGCTCTTTACCTGGGCCTATAATCACTGACAAACCTCCGGACGAGGACAGGGCTCTCTGGTCCCCGCAGTGAAGACGGTGACGCTGACACGCTTAGTGTACGTGAAACACCGTCATGCTCTGACTCTACACGCGTGAGGAAGGACAGGCCAGCCTGGGCACATGGGCCATGCGGCACATGGAGTGGTGGCTACTGGGCACCCTTTCCCTGTCGGGGAGGCCCTTCTCCCCGAGACAACTGCTCCGCTGAGCAAGACGCATCGTCCAAGGAGCCCTCGGAGCAGGGTAAGCGGCGCATCATGGAAGGGTCTCCTAGGTGAGAGGCAGGGGGCCCCGGAGAGACCACGGCCACACAGGGAATGTTCCAGAGCAGCTGTAGGGGAGTAGGAGGGAGCATTGCACGTGGTAGGGAGCATGTGTGGGAGAGGGCTGCATGAAGCCCAGTGTCCTCGTGCTGACCACCACGGGGATGGCCTCACTGACCACCACGGGGATGGCCTCACTGACCTCCGTGGGGTGGTCTCCCCTGACCCCCACAGGGGTGGCCTCCCCTGACCACAGCGGGGGTGGCCTCGCTGACCACCACAGCCATGTGCGTGAGCAAAGGCCAAACCCGCTGATGGGGGAGGGCTGCTCCTGCCTGGATCTGGGGCTTGGAGACCCATGGTGGATTTCTAGGGAAGCTGACCACCTCTAGAATTCCAGAGCCTTCTAGGACTGGTGGCAGGCAGGCCAGGCACATAGGGCAGGAGAGCTGCTGCAGTCCCTAACACACGTGCTCACACACATGCACAGACACGCACGCACACATGTGCACTCCCTCACTCGCCTGGCCTCACTGAGGCAGCGCCCCGAGAAGCACGGCCCCCACATACCTTGCCGGAAGTCTTCTCTCCCAGGAACGGAGGCAGCGTGACTCCGCGGGCAGGGCACAGGCCGGGGGGAGGCACAGTCTCAGTCCCGATCCTGGTCCTTCCGACTTGTGACCAGGGCAGTCACTTCATTTCTCTGTGCCTCGACTTCTCCATCTGCAAAGTAAGAAAGCCAGCACAGGCAGCCAGTGAGCACCTGGACGCGTCAGGGAGAAGCCCAGCGGGGCGCCCACCCCGCCTCAGACTCCAGCTTCCTCCAGGACCGACGTCGAGCCCCAGCCGAGGCCTGCTCTTCTGCCCTGGCTAGGGTCCGTCCTCTGAAACACCCTGCATGGGCATCCGTGTCAGCCGGCAGAGCCTGCTTGGACCCTGGGCTCTCGCCGGTTCTGGCACCCACCACCTTCTTACAGGCCGCCTGGCAGAGACCTTGTCTCCCAGGTGGGCAGCTCCACGTCACGCTTTACGCCACGCTCCTGTTTAGTGGTTTCTGGGGGGACGTCGGGGCTGCCGACGAGTGGGGGAGTTAGCTGCTGTCTCACCTCGGCGCCAATCACATGCCGTGCTAATTCTGTGAAGCGTGATACCTGGGAGGGTGCACGTTTTCTCGAAGCCCCCAGCCAGCAGGGGCAGGGCCACGAGGGAGACCGGATGACGGCTCGCAAATCCAGGCTCTGTCATTTGGTGACGCCCGCTCTGCCTCCCCAGGAAGAGCTTAGGGGACGAGGACGGGCGGAACACAGCTCTGTGGTGGGAGGGCCTGGGGCAGGGGATGCTGACGCCTGAGGGTCCCCGGGGCGACCCAGAGGAGCCCACCGACTCCAAGGCCCGTCTCCTTGAATATCTTCGGGGGCTGTTCTGAGCCAGCCAGTGAAGGAAGAGCCCGGGGCATTGGCGACCTGGACTTCACAGCGGCTGCACGCGGCTCTCCCAGGACCCTCAGCACAGGAAGCCAGGCGGGGAGTGAAAAGGAGGCAGAAGCCGTTTTCCCCAGTACTCAGCAGGCCCTCCCTCAGGTTTCCATGCACCTGCAGGCGAGTACGTCACTGCCCGTCCTGCCAGCCCAGAGTGACCAAGATCCCAGGGCGGAGGTGTGGGAGATCTCTCTAAAGGGGAAGGCAGCAGGCGAGACTGACCCTTCTTTTCAACTTTGCCATTTAAAACGAAAGATCCTGGGACCAGCAGGTGGCGTGGTGGTTAAGGCCATCTGACCAGGGATAGGCCACGCCCCGGGCTGGACCACAGGGCTGGTGCGACTTCGCCGTGATGTGCAAGGCGACGTGCAGTCTGTAGCGTATGAATTGCTTATTTCTGGAATTTTCCATCTAGTACTTTCAGACCATCGTTGTCCTTGGAACCGAAACTGCAGAGAGAAGCTGTGATGGGGCCCACTGAGCCGCTGGTCCCATCTGTCACCTCTGCCTCTCGTGTCGTTCCGAATGCCTTCTGAGCTCCCCACTTAGAAATCTCAGACAGGCCATAGAGCCCTGTGGACTGAAGAGTGACTGGCCGGATCCCCACCGAGCCTCTGCTCTATGTCCGGGTGTCAGGGAGCAGCGACTGTGTGCACTGGCCGGCCCAGGACCCCGTGTCCTGCCCCATACCCAGGTGCTGTGAGTCACTCAGCCCCGTCCCCCGTGGCTTTCTGATCCTTAGTTTCTCCTTTCTGGTTCCTTGTACCACTCCCTGGACCCGAGCATGGCCTGGGGTCTCACTGTTGCTCTGGACGCCAAGAGAGCGTCTTTCCTGATGGCCTACTCCCAACCCCGGCCGTTTCTGCTACTTCATCAGACACACCTCCTGCAGACGACGTGTCTACACCAGCTTCAAGACAAACCAGCTCCCCAGCGCTCCCCTGAACACTGTGTGTTCAAGGCTGGACCCCTCGTAAAGCCGGGACCCTCCCCACACTTTCAGAGCTGCTGAGACACCTCCCTGGCCCACTCTGTGTGTCACGCACAGTCTCTCCATGGGCTGCACCTTCTGTCTGACTCATCTCTTTGAGTCCCTCTGGGACGAGTACCTGCCTCAGTGACCCCGGCCGCTGCAGATGGCCTCCTCTGTGCCCCTCCACACCTTGTGCTTATCTGGGTACATTCTCTGTCACCGCTGCTGCCCAGCTACAGCTCAGCCACCGGGCAGCATGGCCTCCCAGCTCTGCTGTCGCTTCGCTTAGTAGCCTCCATGATCCTGGGGACACGCCACGGCTGATGTCGCAGAGAGCAAAGGGCGCATGCTTGCTGATCCAAGCTCACAGCAAAGCAATGGAGACTGAGCAGAGAGCGGCAGGCGAGGCAGACGCAGCGCCAGGGGCAGCCGAGGCAGACGCAGCGCCCGGTGGCAGAGTGGGCAGCCCGGACACGGCGCACCTGCCCGTCGTCAGCTGAAGTTGCGGAAGGACAGCAGGGCCATTCAGACGGGAAAGGCTTTTTAATGAATGGTGCTGGGACGAGCAGATGTCACTGTGCACATGAATAAATGTCGACCCCTGCCTCACGCCAGAAACGAATGAGAACTCCCATGGATCAAAGGCCCGAAGGAGAGAACTAAACCTATAAAACTCATAGAAGAAAGTAGATTAATCTTCATGGCCTTGGATTTAGCAAGGAGTTACAGACATGACCCCAAAAAGATGAACAACTCAAGAAAAACTTTTATCAAAATTTAAAAACAAAAATTGGTGCTACCAGTATGCCGTCAACAAAGTGAAAAGACAGCCCATGGAAGGGAGGACAAATTTCACAAATCTCATACTAATAAGGAAATTCTGTCTGGAATATATAAATAATTCTTAACTCTATAGTAAAAAGACGACCAATCCAATTTTAAAAAATGCCAACGATCTGAAGTCACAATTTCAACGAAGATATGTGAGGCACCCACAAGCACGTGATAAACAAGCAATACTATTAATCGCCAGAGAAATGCAAATCAAAGCTGGCCGAGAAGCACTCCCACGGCCAGGATGGTTTCACGTGGCGAGGTGCACGAGGACAAGCACTGGCGAGGTGCGGAGAACTGAGAGCCCTTGAAGCGCCAGTGGGAACGCCGGGTAGCACAGCCACTTCACGGCACTTCCGGCAGCTCCTCGAAGGACTACCCACAGTTCCCGCATGACCCAGCAGCCCCACTGCTCGGTGAGAAATGAAAACACGAACACGAAGAAACTTGCAGTGCATGCTCACTGCTGCGTCATTTGGAAAACCAGAATGTGACCTGAACTTCAATCAACTGCTGAGGAGTGAGTGGCACACAATGACCCACGAGATGGGGCGTTACCCAGCCGGGAAAGGACCGGAAACTCCTCCACGAGCCACACGCTCCCCAAAGCCCACGTGCCATGTGACTGCATTTACAGGAGATGCCCAGGACAGGAGCGGAGGCATAGGGGACCAGTGGTTGCCTGGCAACAGGGGGCAGCAGATGGCAGGGCAGCTAAAGATGGGAGGTTTCTTTTTCCTTTGTTTTTACATTTTGCTATAGGGCACGTTTGTGCACTCATCGGAGAGACAGAGAGAAACTAAGAAAGCCCCCGGGGGCGATAGCCATGGTCCCTTCCCCTCCACTCTCCTTTCAGGTTTTGGGCACATGTGCACACGTGTGTATATCTTAAGCTGCTGGGTCTGACACTTGAACCACAGTTGACCACATGGGATCCAGCCACCTTAGCCCCAGGCCACCACGCCAGGTTCCTTTCTGAGGGGTGTGGACGTCGACTGTGGTGGCACCTGCACGTGCCCATGGATGTACTGAGCCCCACCGAGGCGCACAGCCGAGCGGGAGCTCATAGGTTATCCCATCATGATGCTGCCGTTAGAGGCAGCCACAGGACTCCCCACGGAGCGTGAGGAGGTGCGAGTGAGCCAGCGGAGGCTTCCTGAGCCTCGGAGTCAGCCTCGCTCCTGCCCTGGCCCCAGGGTGGACTCGCAGCCAGAGCTGCTCAGTTGTGTCCGCCCACTGCCCCACATGGCCTGCTCGGCCCTGCCTTCGGAGGGTGGGGGCTGAGCTGGCCCCACACCCAGGCCCAGAGCCAGGCTGTGAGCCCACACTTGCGGCCTGCCGTGGAGAAACTGGCTGTGGCGCCCAGGTGTCAGGGCTGTCCCAGGGTGCCAGGTGCTTAGACACGGCCATCGTGCCAGAAGCCTGCTGAGCTGGAACTGGTGTGGACTGACCAGGGAGCTCCTGAAGGCCCAGCTGTAGCTCAGTGAGGGTCCCTCATGGGCCTGGGCACCTGCTGGGGTCCACGCCCTCCTGTCACTAACTCACCTGGCACCAGTGAGCTGCTCAGAGTCAGGACTGTGCTCACAGCAGAGGCCTGAGCCCTGCTGGCCTGGGGCTGGTGGGAGGGTCACTGTGTTCCATCCACATGGGACCCTGTGAGTTCCACCGAGTGCCCTCCACCAGCTGCCACACAGGGACCTGCGCCTAGGTGACTGCTTCAGGCCTCAGAGGGCGTGGTCCAAGCGGGCCGTCGGACCCTGTGTGGTTAAGGTGCTCCCCGAGCACGTGGTCTCAGCCTCACCGGGGCCGTGTCCGTGCGGTGGGTCACCGTGCCCGTGCTCTTCTTGCTGTGTGGCAGGACCTGGCTGTGACCACCGCAGACACGGCACCGCATGCGACATGTGCATCCCCCCCAGTCTCTTGCTTCTCCCCAGGTTGGGCTGAGACCCTGCTTCCTTCCCGAGCTGCCAGCGGCCTCCGTCGGGGGTGAGGTGGGACTGTGCTCCGGAGTGCCCAGGGCAGCCCTCCGAGCTCCTTCTGGATGGTGGCACGGCCGGCACTCGTGGCACCTCTGAGCTCTCTGGCAACTGCTGTCCGCATCCCTGCCGCAGCTCCACGCCCTGCCGGCCTGCAAGGAAGCGTGTGGGCCAGCTTGGCGTGAGCTGCAGGCGAAGGCAGCAGCGAGGTTTCTGAACACGCTTCAGAAAGCGCAAGCTGTGGGACCAGCAGTTAGCATAATGGGTATGTCGCTGGACTCCCACGTAGTTGACCGTGGTTCAAGTCCTAGGTCCGGTGGCTTAAACTCACGCCGTGTGCGTGTGCGTGCGTGCCCAAGATCCAGAGAAGAGAATGGAGAAGGGATTGCTGCGTGGCCATCCCCCCTAGGGGGTGATTGATTTCTCCTTCTGTCTCTCTGTCTGTCTGGTGAGCGCACGCGC